TTTTTTTTTCCGGGGGGGGGGGGGGGGGAGGCAGAGGGAGATAAGGATAGTGTAACAGAGAGATGGAAAAGGGAGAAAACTGCTGAGAGCTGGCTGGATTTGAAAAAAGGCTTTTCGCTTGACCGAAACTTTGAAATGAGCAAAGGGTGGGCATCACTTTTGCGAATGTACCTTATGCTGTGGTCAGCTTATGTGGGAGTAGCTTGGTATCAGAAGCCAGAGGGGTAGTATGTAGAGCTTTAAAAGGATGGGTGTGCTGCATAGCTCGAAGCTTTTCACGTAGGATTCTTTATTGCCTCGTCGCTTCCTACCCAGATGGATTGCAAGTGAAGCATCTCCCTGTGTTAGTACAACCAGGGAAAACTCTACGAGTTAAACCGCTTCCTCCAATAGTTCATTCTTCCTTGCTAGCCACGTTTTCCCTTTGATGGACCTTCTCCACCATGAACATGGTACGCTGTGGGGATATTGCCATCGAAACAGATATTTCGGAAGGTTGGACTTCAAACTGCGTGCGTTGGATTCCAATACGTTCAATTGTATCGATATATCTGTACATCTCATATGGGGTGATATATATGTGATATTTTTTTTTCATTCGTCATTCGTGATACTCCAATAAATCTCCACTGTGTATTTTTAACGAAAAGAGCTAGTTGACTTTATCGACAAATTCTAGATATATTGGCACAATGCTAGTGTGGATGTTGGAGAATAACGCTCGCATGTGTGGAGCTGGGGAGAGAGAGAGCGCCAAGAGGAAAACTGTTATATGCGGAGGTAACTTTACTTCTGATTCATATCGAACGTCGTGCATATCGGAAAGTTGCACATACGCGTCAAAAGTTAAAGTTTGTCGGAATTTCAATATTCTCCCGGGGGGTCTTTGGATACGTTGGCGGTGGGATTTTCGGTTGTGAAGGGGTTTTAAGAGAGGCAATTCTCCCTATCGGTGGTACCTATGTTACTCCCTGTTACCTATGCCAAAGCCTTTCAGTTTCCTATTGTGGCCGCTTTTACTTGAGAGGAAAATAGTGAGTAGCTTCGTTTGAGATACATTGTCGAGGGAATTGTCGAATGAAGAATATATCGCACATAGTTACCGCAGAAGTGTCTATTCTCGGGGAAGCCAATCCTATTTGCAGTTGTAAAACCACTTTCATTTGGTCGGAAACACACATCTGCGACGATATAACCACGCAGTCTATCTGAGCGGAAGTGAAAGAAGCCCCTGAAAGTGCTGGCAGAGTCATACACCTCGGTCATTGGTGATTTATTACTCGCGAGTTCCTATATATGTTTTTCCACGCTCGAGCTTTTAGACGAGCCAGAAGGGGGAGAAGAATTCTCTCCACTCTTTTTTTCCCCTGTTCATTTTTTCACTCTTTTTACCACAAAGTTTCTATGACAATTTTTTCTTCTCCACTTTTTTTTTCCTCCTCTCTCCTCTCGCAGAAGACAATTTCTTTCCGGCGGGTGGTATAACTGGAAAAGAACGCGGAGTATGATGTATGAAGCGCCTCGCGTACGTCTGGAATGTTGTAAAATATGTCACTGGTGTAAATAACAAAAGAAATTTTCAATGTGATAAAGTTTATGGGTGTCATACATTGTCGTTATCATCAGCCCAATGGATTTTCGTACTGATAAATCACAATCAATTTATCATGATTTGATTAGTTACTGTTGACAATTCATAACTGATCGATCGTTGTTAACAATCTGCTTTTTTTCATTACTCGTTTTTTCTGACCCATGGATATCCATTGTGCGAAACAAATTTATGATCTCATCAATCTTGATTTAATGAAGCCCGAGTGAGCACCCCGTCAACACTGAAAATTTGCATTGGGAAATGTAACAACAGTACTTTTCCACTGAACACAGATGGCCCTCCGGAGATTTCAATTCATCATGACAATCATCTCACTTAGTTGGTGGAAATTTCAGCCGTGATTAAACACTCTTTTGACTCCAGTGAGACAGAGTTGAGTTTGGAGAATTTATTCAATCTCTAAAGGATCATCAATGTTGGCGGGAAAACGAGTAAGTGTGGAGAAACAAAGAACTGGAAAAAAAAATTTAGGGAGATTGTCTGTCGGGGCTTTTCGGGAGGAATTCATCGTTTTCCCTGCAAAGTGAAATTATTCAAGCGCTCTGCATTCTGAACCCCACGAGGGAACAAAGGAAGAGGCAAAGTAGTAATTTCAATGTGGACGGCTCCAACACAAGTCTCAGGCGCAAAGTTTTCTCACTAAACTTACCGCTTGCTTCAGCATCACTATGAATGAAAAAGACGAGTCAGGACAGAGTTGAAGACTTGTCGTATATTGGAGGTAGTTTTGGTGGCCAAACCACATTCGTTGGACCCCCCCCCC